TAGATACTTTATCTGCTTCTTCATGTCTGTCAGTTCGGTCGGACTAAGGCGGTATGGTGCACGTGAGACGGGTTTCGCACCTGGTTCCTCCACGATCTCGTGCTCGTGGGTGTGTGCTGGAGGTACGCGTGCGGGTAGGTCGTCGGGCATTATATCCTTGTACTGCTCCAAGACCTCCTTCACTGTTGCAGGTAGCTCTGCATTCGGCTTCTCCTCCTCTGCTGCTGCCATGACCAGTGCTAAGTAACCCGTGTTGCTCTCGTTCACCGTCCGTTCGAACCGTGCCAGTGTCGTTTCAGGAACATTCCCTGTATCTGTCCAGCTTCGCAGCTCCACTCGTTTCCCGTTGTTGTAGATGCACGCCTTCCTGTTAACCCAGTCGATCTCGGGGTTGAACCACTTCAGGAAATCTCGCCCCAAGATGAAATCTAAACCCTTGATGTTCGTGATCGGCAATGTCGACTTCCACCTCAGCGCCCCTATGTGCAGCTGCAGTGATGCTTCGCCGTGGATGGGAAGTTTTGTACCGTCCACCATCGTTGCCGTGAACTTGGTCTCCTCCGAAGGTTCTCCACTTTTCTCCAACGTCCCGTGGTCGCACACCGAGTGAGACGCACCGCTGTCCACCATTGCCTGGAGGCGTCGCCCGTTGCAGATCACCTCGAGTAGTAGTGGTTGTTGCTGCTCCGAGTAACCGTAGATTGTCTCGCTTATAGGATCGTAGGGTACGTCGAATAGATCATCCCTCGGTCCTGCGCTCGAAGCTGCTGACTCCATATCAGTTTTCAACTGAGTTGGGTTAGAAGGATTTATCCGAGGCCAATTCAGCTTCGTCTTGGCCTGGAACCTTCTCTTAAGCCTTTGCAGCTGTGTAGGCTTCACCTGTGGGCAATTGGGAGCCTTAACACCATGCTGCGGGGAGAGAATATGAACTCCTTGGAACGCACGACCCTTTTCAACGCTCCGGAGTGGTTTGCCCAACTTCTCAGGTACCTGAATAATGTTTGAAGGCTTTTTCTTGGCCTTGAAATCTCCCTTGAATTTTTTAAAGGCTTGAAAACCTCGAGAGGGAATATTCTTACTCTCGGGGGTGTTCGGCTGGAGTTTCCCGGTCGGTGCAGAGTCTTGTTTCGCGGAGCCTCCATTTGTCTCGGCGATTTCCCCTGTTGCTGGCCGGTCGTGGCGTTTTGAATTCGCGCCATCATGTCCTCCTTTTTTCGCCATCGTGGATGTCGCACTGTTGTTGCCCTGCAGCTCCGCTCGTGCCTTCTTCATTTTCCAACACGCCAAGAATCGATGTCCTGCTGCGCCGCAAAATTCGCACTTCTCATATTTTGTCGGCCGGTGCTTCGCGTCGATCTTGTCGATATCCATTGGGTCGGCGGTCGTGGGTGGTGCCGATCGCTTCGTGCCAAATGATCGGTCCGGCACGTGGCGTCGTGTCTCGGGTTCACATCGCAACAGCGCATCGAATCTTTCTGCTGCACACACCATGTCGCGGTAGTTGTTGTAGTTCGCGGCAATCACCTGTTGCTGGACTTCCATTTTTAGCCCCTCTGTATACGCTTGGATTTTTTCCCCTTCGGTCAGGTCGGTAATTCGGTTGAAGAGGCTCTCCATCTGCTGCGTGTACTGTGTTACACTGCCGAACTGTTTATGCCGATGAATCTGCTGCCGCGCCATGTAGCTGGGGTTGATTGGTTCGAAACGTTGAATTAAAGCTCCCCGAAACTGCGTCTATGACCCCTCGCCTCGGACCTCGTTGCTATTGTAATTCCACTCGAGCGCTGGGCCTCGTAACAGTGTCGCTGCGAGCCGAATCCGCATTGCATCGTGTGTCGGGGTCGTACAGCCAACGGCCTCGAAGTAAATTTCGAGAGTCGCAATGAATCGACGAACGTCAGTGTCTCTCGCATTCGGATTGAACGTCTCCGGAAGCCTCGGACGTGCCGCCTCAAGATTCACTGTAGCCGCTGCCGCTGCTGCTGGGTTAAGTGTCGGTGTCGCCGCTGCTGCTGCTGACGTCGCTGCTGCATTCGCCGCTGCATTCGCTGCTGCTATGGCGGCTGCCGACTGGTTCGCGAGAAGCTCCTCTATTCGCTGGAGTGCCGCTCGCGTCTGGTCCAGGCCGGTGTGTAAATCCGTAATTTTCCATACGGAATAATCACCGTTTTCCTCCATTTGGCGATTTATAGGAAGATTTGCGACGAAAATGATTGAATTTTAGGCGCTGGTCATCTTACAGTGAGTCGAATCGAATGTAGAAATGACGAGCGCTGATTCTGTAGGTCGCGTGATTCTCCCTTAGTGTAAATTCGCGTCTGATCTCGGCCGTTGAGAAGAAATCCGATCCGACGCTCCAAATTCCAACGTTTTTGGGCGAAATTCTCAGGGCCGTTGAGATTCGTATCGATCCGACGGTCGAAATTCCAACTTTTTCGCCACCGGACCTGAGGGGTGTTCGAAAACCGGTTCGAGGGGGACGTTAGAAAATAGCGCGGAACTGGTTTACGTACCCGAAATCGGCGCCTTCCGTCGTCGCCCCCGCGGTTTTAAAAGCTAGGTTTTAGCGGTCGAAAAACTTTCGCGTGCAAACAGGCTCTGACTACCAAGTGTGAGGATCTAGGATCTAGCTCAGGAAAGAGAGTTTGAATTGATTGATTACCTGGGTACAACACGAGGCTATATATAGGCTCGACACAAGGCCCAGTAACCAGGTGTTACGCGAAGGTTCCGCGGGTCGCGAAGCGTCCCGAGCAGATCCTTCCCGAATTCGGTAGAAGGCAATTCGGTGGCAACCGAAAAGCCAGAATTCGGTGCACGCAACCTAGCTCGGTGCTATAACTATAATAAAATATAGGAAAGCACCTAGCCTAGGAAATCAAGCAATTCATGCATGCATATAATTATCCTATGCTAGAAATAGCATGATAAAGTAAAGGCAAGCAAGCATAGCTGGCATAAGCCGTCGTACTCTCACAGATAGTTAGAACAACTTATAACACAGTTGATGTTAGACAGAAAAAAAAGAGACAAATTTACTGAAATCTGTACCTTCCATGACGTTCCCATGGCACAATTTCGAATAAAGCATAAAGTGGTGGACTGCAAAATCAAACACTATAAGAAGAAACTCAGGCAAATATAAGAACGACTTTCCTGATGCTTCTGGTTGATACACATGGAAATGACAATACCGCCGTGTTGACGAGCTTTCCCGTGTTAATCAGTTCTGCATCGATGGAAACGCAACGCAAATGAGGTCATTGCGAGCGCTACCAGAAATCGATGACATTAACGCATTAAAAAAATACAGCAAAATAATAAAAACGAGTACGTACCTATGAATAGACATCGAGAGTGGTAGAAAGAGAGGCTAAGGAACGACTTACGTAGTCGAGGGCAGCTGGAATGAGGAAAGCGTAGAGGAAACGAGAGTTAGTGAGTTACTAAGTCTAAGGAAGCAGGCTGAGGCAAACTGAAGAGAAAGAGAAGTGCGAGGTGGGAGATGCGAGGAGAGAACGACGGGGGGATTGGAAAGAGAGACTACTGCTTCTGCTGGGTGGGTTGTGCTGTTGCGGGGGGGAGGTCGCGCAGGTTGCGGTTGGAGCACTTGCGCAGCTGGAAGCTGCAGTTGGCAGTTGCAAGCGCAGAAGCTCTGCACCAGCGCCGTTGCGCAATTGCAGCAGCAAGTGCAGCAGCTGTACAGCAATTGCGCAGCTGCACATAGACCGTAATCTAGCGCAAGTGCGCTATGTGTACAGTTCAGCTGCACGATGCCCAGCGGGCGACGGCGAAAAAGAACCAATCGCAACAATCCTTATCCCCAACAAGGTGGGGGATGTAGATATACACCAGTTGCCGAACACATCTACGGTGACGGGGAAGTAGGCACTGGTGTATATCTACACCAAGTAGGCACAAGACCTAGCATCGTACAGAAGCGATGCTAGGTCTTGTGCCTACTTGGTGTAGATATATTTTCAGGCAGAGGTGGTCCGTGGCGCTGCAGAGGGCCCAGTCAGTGGGGTTCCTCATGGAGACGTGTCAAGCCGCTATGGCAGAGCACCCACCTGTTGGGGGGATGCAGCATGAGCTCCACCTGGGTGATTGCCTCACCGTGATTGAACCTCTGGTGGAGGTTTAGGGAAAGATGACAAGAGTGTTGTTTAGGATGTGTGGTAGTAGGTTAGTATGCCCATAGGCTTGTCTAATCTCTGTCATTTTACTTGCATGCTTGTACCTTGCTGCAATATCAATATACGGACCATTAGAGAGAGAGAGAGAGAGAGAGAGAGAGAGAGAGAGAGAGAGAGAGAGAGAGAGAGAGAGAGAGAGAGAGAGAGGCAATTATTCATTTCGCTGGTGAGTTCTTTCTCCCATCCGAGCGGGAGAGAGAGCGAGAGAGAGAGAGAGAGAGAGAGAGAGAGAGAGAGAGAGAGAGAGAGAGAGAGAGAGAGAGAGAGAGAGAGAGAGAGAGAGAGAGAGGCAACCAGGCCACTCCCTTAGCCTCTCAGCCGCCTATGTTCCTAGTATAGAGGCTCTAGAGCCTTGCACTTCAGCCCATTATTCATTTCGCTGGTGAGTTCTTTCTCCCATCCGAGCGGGAGAGAGAGCGAGAGAGAGAGAGAGAGAGAGAGAGAGAGAGAGAGAGAGAGAGAGAGAGAGAGAGAGAGAGAGAGAGAGGCAACTAGGCCACTCCCTTAGCCTCTCAGCCGCCTATGTTCCTAGTATATAGGCTCTAGAGCCTTGCACTTCAGCCCATTATTCATTTCGCTGGTGAGTTCTTTCTCCCATCCGAGCGGCTCGCGTCGGCCGCCCTCGGCGGCCGACGCTCGACAGCGCGGCCTTCGGCCGCGCGTGAGGGGTGGCAAGATACACACAAGACAAGCTACTGTAGGCACGCATACAAGCATGGAACACAAAACACTAGCCTAGGTGAAGCATGGAGCAAGAGGAGCCCGCATCCACACGCGGTGAGCTCCTGGGGCACGCGGACGCTACACCTGATCCGCGTCAAACACAGCAAGCAGCCCCGACAGCGTGCGATGCAGCTCACGCACCAACACCGTGCCTGCGGCGATCGCCCCGGATCCAGTCCCTGCATGCAACAACCACCGCAGCCCACGTACAGCAGAACCAAGGGGCCCGACCCCCGCAAGCCCACCCGGCGCGGGCGCAGCCAACACGGGCGCTAGCAGCTCGGCGAGACGATCAGCTGCCGCGAAACAATCGTCTCGAGGGCCGCCCACCAGTGAGTCGCCCTGGGACAGGGCGGCATGACCATACACTTGCACCAGATGCACGACCCGCAGCGCCTCCGAGAGGCGCCAGATCTGACCAAGGGTCACCTCCGGAACCGCGACTAGACGCTGAGGCCCCAGTAGGGCCGAGAAAGGGTACGCCGCAACTGCGGGCGGGGGAGAGGGATCAACAGGCAACAGGGACGGATATTGCGCAGTCACGGGGACATGAGGAGGAGGAACAATTGCAGGAGGACGAGGGGCGGCCAGGGCAGGAGGTGCAGTTGGAGGAGGTACCACGGGGGTCTGAGCAACACGCGGGGAGTTGCTCTGGCTTGCCTGCCCGTTCCGCTCCTCGCGCACAGCAGCAGACACCGCGCGCTGCAGGTCAGCCATCGTCACCGGCTGATCAGACCCCCAGCCGCCACCCCGCTGACGCGGCCCCCACCAGCCGCCTCGGCCGCCGCGTTGCGCCGCCCAGTTCGCCTGAGAACCGCGGCGCCGCGAGGAATTGTGGCGGCGCCGGGACGTCGTCCTGACGCGCGGAAGATTGGGGCCGCTGCTGACGACGACCAGGAGACTGCGGACGCGGAGCGGACGGCGCAGAGGGATTTGCCACCAGTGGCGCAACGGGAACGGCCACAGGCGGCGCAGACAGACCCGCCACGTGCGGAGCTGGCGGAGCAACAACAGGCTGGGCAACAGGAGCAACCCCAGTCGGCACGAGAGGAGCACCCGCAGACGGTGCAGGGGGTGTAATCACAGGAGGTGCGGGAGGTAGAGCCACGGCCAGTGCAGGAGCAGATCCCGCCTGCACAAGCGGAGGAGGTGCCAGCGTCGGAGGCGGTGCAGACGGGGGAGCCGGAGAGGCGGGAAGCGCCGGCTGGCCCTGGACGTCAGTGGTGGCGGACCCCTCCGGCTGGGCCGTCACGCCGCCAGCAACAACCGCCCGCTCGGCGGCCGCAGACGGAGCGGCGGGGTCGGCAGCTCGAAGAGCGCCAGACGGAGCAGACACATCAGACGCCGCAGCGAGAGGGTCAGGCGGCTCGACAGGAAGAGGTGCAGACAGCACGGGAGCCTGGCGACCACCGTCGCCAGGTAGAGACGCCAGGGCCTCGCGAAACGACAGTGCGGGGCGAGGAAGGATTTCAGCGTCTTCTGTCACGGGCTTCGGAGCAGGAAGCGTCGGGGAGCCCGTCGGCATGGTCCCCGTTCCGGAGGCAGGCGGTGGCCTTTCGAACGCAACCGACGCAGCGCCAACGCGCATTGGCGAATAATCGGTCGGCCCAGCAATCACCATCGCGGGGCCGAGGAGGGCGAGGCAGAGGGAGAGTGACAGCTAGCGGCGAGGGAGGTGGACCGGAGAACGGCTTCCAAGCGGCAGGGCGACGGGCTTTAACTGCACTAGAAATGGATAATGTGGAGGAGGATCAAGGAGATCCTTCTTATAGGGAGGAGCCGCTCCCACTAAGTGAAGACGACGAGGAAGAAAGTGATGAGGCTGGAAGGCTAAGGCCTGGGAGGCAGGCTGCAGAGCATGAGGCGGGCGAGGTAGGAGAAGTGCAACAAGTGAATCGGACGGCTACAATTCCAACTCATGGTCAGGGCGCAATCCCGAGGCGCGCGCAGAGGAATCAAACCGCGCGCTCTGGCAGCGCATCAGCAAATCAAACACATTTCCCCCGCTACTTCTCGCCAGACGAATTGGCGAAGCAAACAGACCTGTTCGCAGCCATCGATGATTGGGATTTGGCGGCCCTATGCGACAGTCGTCAGTCATCCCTGTCGCGCTGATTACCGCCCAATTTGTGTCAGCTGTTTTCACTGGTGTTACTCACCCCGCTCCTTCACCTCGCGCGAAATCCGGACTCGGTCGCAGGGTGGCGACTGCTGCTGTTTCTCCCTCGGCTCACTCTTCGCCAAACGTCGCCAAGAAGACCGAAGTGGCCCGAAGTCAAAGCCCGTCTCAGGGCTTTCCAGCGTGGCGAATGGGGGCAGCTGTATTCTGACGCAATCGAAGCCATCAACACCCCACCGCCTCCACGTCACCAGCCGGACGAGGCGGGAGTACTCAGCAGGGCGGAGGGCCTGGCCAAGCGTGGAAGTCTACGCCGAGCCGTGCTGGCCCTCGAGTCAACCCCAGTCTGCACGCCAGGCCCAGCAATCTTGGATGAACTTCGCGCGAAACACCCCCGAGCCGACGACGAGCAGCTGAGCTGGCCAACAGCACCTGACCCGCACCTGCAAATCAGCCACGCCGATTTCTCCAAACTCCTGGGTCGGTGCGAAAATGGGGTGGGGACTGGACCATCCGGAACCGCTTTCGAACACCTTCGCGACGCATCTGCAACCAACGCATCGGTCTGCACCCACCTGCACGCCCTGATCAACACTATCCTGGCAGGCAAATTACCCGAGCCAGTGGCAGACCTGCTGACAGCGTCACGCCTAATCGCGCTGTCCAAGCCAGGGTGGGGGGTTCGGCCAATTGCAATTGGCGAATGCCTGACGCGCCTCGCGGCCAAGGCAGCTCTGACCGCAATTGGGGAAGCTGCACGTGACCACTTCTTGCCACTACAGTACGGGGTGGCGGTACCAGGGGGAGCTGAGGCAAACATCCATGTCGCACGTGCCTTCGTTGACTCGAGGGACGGCTGCGTGGTGTTACAGACCGACATCTCAAACGCCTTTAACAGCATTTTGCGACAGGCAATCATCAACGGGTTACGCGACAACAACCTTTCGTCACTGCTCCCTCTGGTGCGGCTAACGTACGGTAACCCGTCGAAGCTGTACCTCGACTCGAACTTCGCCAGCCACCCGCTAAATAGTGAACGCGGCGTGAGGCAGGGGGACCCACTCGGCCCTCTACTGTTCGCAGCAGGGATTCACCCAGCACTTCGCGAAACTGCCGACGCACACCCCCACATTCTCTGCTTGGCGTATGCAGACGACGTGACATTTTTGGGGGACGACACGGACACTGTAGCAGCGTTCAATTTCTTCACGAGCAAGCTAGCGCAGCTGGGGCTTAAACATAATCCACATAAATGTGCGGCATGGAGCACAAGGGGCGACGGGCCAATTCAGCTGCCACCAGGGGTCCCGTTTTCCAAGGACGGGATACGCCTTCTAGGCAGCTTCTTGGGGCCAGCGGCAGGCGCGGCCAAATTCCTGGCGGGGCAGCTAGAGGAAATGGCGAAGCCGCTGCCGCTCTTAGAACGTGCCGACCCCCAAGTAGCCTCCCTGCTCCTGACCCGCTGCATTTCCAGACGCGTAGCATACCTCACTAGGACTACTCCACTCAACCTCCTACCACGAGACACCTGGGCACAGTGGGGGAGAGACCTCCTAGCCGCGCTCCTGACATCCTGCGGGATTAGAGTCCCTACCTGTAGCACAGAGCAGTCGAGAGTGTGGGCGCAGGCCTCGCTTCCATCATCCCTGGGCGGCCTAGGAATCACGGACCCACTCGTAGAAGGCGTCTACGGCTTCGTAGCCAGCTTCACACAGGCCGCGCTCTTCTTCTCCTCCCTGACGCTAGCACCAGAAACTGCCCTGACCCACGCACACAGCCACATGATTCTGCCCCGGGACGTCACCACACCGCTTCATTCCTGGCTCACAGAGTGCGAGACAGCCCTGCCCTCAGACGCACGCGACGTAGTTGATCAGGAGCGGCTCTCTCGGTCGGACATCAAGCTCCAGCACACTCTGGCCCTCAAAGTACAGGGGAGTAGGTCATGGTACAGGTCCAGGAGACGAGGCGAATGAGACTGAATCCTCTATCCGGGCACACACAGAGAATGTTCTCACTCACAGGCTACGGCACAGGGGACTGGCTGACGGCGGTACCGGTAGCTTCCTCAAGACGCATAGGCCCGGTACACTTCAGCAATGCCGTGCGCTTTTGGTTGGGCCTCCCTTTCTCTACTCCGAAGAATTGTGATTGTGCAGACCACACCGAAATCACAGACCCGCGCCTCCCCAACCACCTCTTCCGCTGCGGCACGGTGAAGCACCGGACGAATACTCATAACGAACTCCACGACGCGTGCATCAGCATGGCGCAAGACGCGGGGTTCATAGTACACAGGGAGACTAACGTCTACTGCCCCTTAGAGGAGCAGACGGCTGATTTTACCATGACAGACAGAAGTAGTGGGGCAGTCTGGGTGTGTGATGTCACGGTTACAGACCCTATTAGCACCAGGGACCCTGAGGCTCGGAAAGGCAGGGGATGGGCAGCCTGGGAGCAGGCGGATAAGAAGATCAAACAATACGAAAACCTGCCAGAGACAGTGGGTTTCTTCCCCCTCACAGTGGAGACCTACGGCTGCCCTTGTGCCGAGGTCCTTGTGTTCCTGAAACTCCTTGCAGACACGGCGGCTCGGCGATACTTCAACGCCGACTCCAAATCCTATCAGGCCGCGAAGTTCCTGCACCAGTTCAGGCAGAGGTGGTCGGTTGCACTGCAGAGGGCACAATCCGTGGGTCTCATGATCAAGTTAGGGGAGGCGGCTGCTGTAGAAAACCCGCCTGTAGGGGGGATAGGGCAAGAATTATACCTAGGGGACTGTTTTACTGTCCTGGAGCCTCTTCTTGAGCTCTAGGTGGCATAGAGGGGTTGGATAGTCTAGGCTACCTTGCATGATTAGCACCCTACTGTCTCTCATTGCATGTGTGTACCCTTCTGGCTTATCAATATACGGACCATTAGAGAGAGAGAGAGAGAGAGAGAGAGAGAGAGAGAGAGAGAGAGAGAGAGAGAGAGAGAGAGATGTGAAGAGAATAGTGAGGAATGATTGACTAGTGGGAAGGTTGGATACAAGTACAAACCCTAGAATGTGTTGTACCCCATATGTGCTACCCCACTATAGCCTACATAGGCTAAGTCATATAAATCTGACACACCCCCATAGGCAAAGTGGGGGAGAACTAGGGGTCACAAGACCAGTCAAGCAAAGCAAAGCAAAGCAAGCTCAGGGTGGATCACAACGTCACCACACAGTCCGAGCACAGGGTCAAGGCCACAAGGCCAGTTCACATGCAGGAGTATATATAAAGGTAAACAAGCAAGTGAAGGTATATATAGATCACAGTACAAGCAAGGTCAAGAAGTGAGCAAGTGAGGCCAAGTAGGCACAAGACCTAGCATCGTACAGAAGCGCTGATGATCACAAGGCTGAAGTGCCTTGGTAAAGATATCAGCAGTGTTGGCCCGAGAGGCCACGTAAGCAAGGCGCAGCTGACCACGCTGCTGCAGCTCACGAGCAAGAAAGTAGCGGAGAGCAATGTGCTTCGTTCTGTGCTCCAGTCTGTGCTCCCGACACAAGGCCAGCATGGCCTTGTTGTCTACGTACAGAACTGGAGGAGAACGAGGCGGCTCTCCCAGGTCGGTCAGCAGGTAGGTGAGCCAGCGTAACTCCTGTGCATCCATGGCCCCTGCGTAGATCTCAGCCTCACAGCTGGAGCCGAGAACAGAAGACGAGCGGGTCGACCGCCACGAAACAGAGCCGGAACCAAGGCTGAAGGTGTAACCCTGTGACGACCGCTGCGTAGCCTGGTCGTCAGCCCAACAAGCGTCCGCGTGACCAGTGAGGACCACTGAACTCCGCCCTCCAAGCACTAGCCCCATGCCCGACGTACTGCACAAGTAGCGCAACACCCTCTTAGCTGCATCCATGTGCTCTGGTCGGTGTCTCCCAGGAGCAACATAGCGTGCCAGGATGCTAAGAGGGTATGCCAGGTCAGGTCGAGTGCAGGTCATCAGGTACATGAGGCAGCCAACAAGCTCTGGGTACGGGCCACTCGGCTCTACGGACTCATCCGAAGGTAGAGCTGAGAGCGAGTGGCGAGTAGACAGAGGAGTGGCCTGAGGCGAGGAGTACGTGAAGTTGAAGCGCTGAAGGACCTACTGCACCATGTGTGACTGAGTCAAGGTAATGGTGCGCCGTGCTCTGTCCCGGGTGATCTGCAAGCCAAGATAGCTGCGCAGTTCACCCAGGTCTGTGCACGTGTGTCTCTTCTGCAGCTCCGACTTCACGTGGGCGAGTCCAGCGGTGTCAGCAGTAGCAAAGACCAAGTCGTCGACGTACATGAGGATGTAGAATGGCGGCAGCGAGGTGTCGGTGCGTAGAAACAGCGACGGGTCAGCAGTAGAAGGAGCAAACCCAAGAGCTGCAAGCTTAGTCCTCAGTGTGTCGTGCCACTCGCGGGGAGCCTGGCGGAGACCGTAGACTGGCCGCCGGAGGCTCCACTGGGTACCAGGAGGGAACGACCCAGTGAAGCCAGGTGGGC